TACATACATATATATATATATATATATGTATGTTTGTATGTATCACGCATACAAACAAAAAAACAAGGGAATCACTGGCAGGAACCTGTGCTCCTCTTCGGTTTCCTCTTGGCTTTCCGCCCTCGCCTACCCAAAACCCGAAACCCCATCTTGCCTTCCGCCCGAACGGCTCGTTGCGCGGGCGCGCCTTGCGGCCTAGCAGCGCGCCCAGCAGCTCGGCCACCAGGCGCCGGCGATCCAAGGCGCCCTGGATCCAAGGCGCTGACTGGAATTGATGGCACTGGAAATTTGTTGGGACCCAAATTTCACTGCACTTGGGTCAAGGAATTTCTTGGGTTTATATACGGTCAAAAGAAATCTAATGACTACTGAGTACGGTCAAAAGAACCTATTTGTCATCACTAGAGCAATATGCAAACATGTCTGTCCAAATTCTGGGCAGCAATGGAAAGCAACAACAAAGATGAGGCCTTATTTAGCAACTGGTGTTCTCGCTGGGAGTGGAGCAACCCCTCCCAAACCAAAACCCCAAGGGCGGGGTAGAAAGCTCCAAAAAGCGATCGAGCCGATCAGGATGGGAGCTTGGAACTGCACACTTGACCAAAACTGGCACCAACCCCCCAAAACATGGGAGCAAGTCCGAAGCCCCCAGCCCCAAAGGGAAGCACAATGTTCACACGCCAACCCATTCACCGCAATCCACCCCCCGGCCTTCCCCGCCAGCTCCCCCGCGCCAACTCGCAACTCGCCTCCTCGCCCCGCCGCCGCAGCAGCGCCGCGCAGGCGGCGCCCAGGGCGCCCGCGGCCTCTCCGAAGCCGCGGGCGGCGCGGGTTTTAGGTTGGACCGCCCCAAAAAAGTGGCCGACAACGGCGTTCCTCTGGGTGTTGTTTCCCTTTGAAGCCGCATATAAATAAATAAAAAAAAGTAGCCTCACAAAGCAAACAAACCCATGTTGGCTGGGGGGGTTGACGACTTGGTAGGTTCATGTTGGTTGGTCGGGACGCCACCTCAGCATTTGCGCCGCCAAACGTCATTTTTTGATTCTGGTCCATGAGTGAACCACCGCAGAATTGCTAAGGCCGGGTGTTGTATGAACGGCGATTCATAAACATCCAATCTTCCCAATGTTGACTCCAAGTACTAAGGGGGGGGGTCCATTGTAGAGGTCGGGGGAAAACGGGACAACCCTGAAAAACAGCCGTCAACCTTCGGGCCCCATTTCCACACCTTTGAAGGGCAACCACTGGGATTTGCCCTATTCGCTATTTTCTTGCGGATTCCCACTTGGTGGTCTCTTTTTGTGGAGCTCCCCAAGCCGTGCCTCCTGCGCCTCCGGCGCTTCTGGGCGCTTGGCCAAAAGCCGCGCTTGCGATGCCAAGGCCTCCGGCACCTGCCGCGCCTGGCAGAAGGCTTCCGCGGTTTTTTGCTTGAACCGAAAATGGGTGGCTCGTCTTTCTGGTTGGGGTGTTGGGTGGTGATGTGAGTTATATGGGTGGTTGAAAAGGAGGATTAGTAGGGATATTGCTAGGAGTTGATAGGGGGGGGCTTAGGAGGTAATTGTAAACAGCCAGGCTCAAAAGAACCGGCTTGAGAAAATGATGCTGGAGTCGGGCGAGCAGTCTGGCGGGCTTGGGCTGCGAACTTGCACAGCGGCCGCACCCTGGGCAGCTGCGTGAAACGGGGGGGTGGCCTGGGCTCGCCAGAGAATGGGGCTGAGTTCGCGCAGCCCGCGCGGTGCTCCTCAATGTCCCAGAGCAGCAGTCTCGCTGGTGTGCAGTTCCGCTACAGCCGGCTCGCACACAAGCGGAGACCCTTGCAAGTCAGCGCAGTCGTTGACCTGTATCAGGGTGGCAAGGCCAACTCCATTTTTTAGGTCACTGGGTTGAGATGCCTTCTTGCACAGTCACGCTTCACGGGAGAAAACAAAGAGCCTTGAACCTGCTAGTGGCCGGCCTCAACCACACCAGCACAATCCGCACAAACACAAAGAGAGGGTTTCGCCTTTTGGGGCTCTCGTTCTGCACCACGGGGGGCCTCTTTGGAAAATGCACTCCACCCGTGTCGGACGCTTCGAATCATTTCGAACATTTCGGAACGTGGCGAGCGGTTGGAAGGCTTCAAGCGGTTCAGGAGGCGATCCCAAGCTGAGTGAAAGAACTGTTCGCGACAAGCCCGACACACCCATATCCCCCACCCAAGCATTGTGCAGTAGGGCGAACCCTGCAAAAAACTGGCCAGCCAAGCCCAATTGTTTTTACTTGTTTCTGGAACTTACTTGCTTGTTGTTTCACTCCTTCCGCTTTCGCTTTGAAAGGTCTGCAGTCTACATTGAGACAGGCACTTCTGAAAGGGGGAGGAAACTTGGAAGGGTCCCTGATTCTGAGGCACACCCATCTGCGGGCACATCTCAAAATGGGGGAACGCAAAAAAGGGTTGTGCTTCAAATACCCAAAAGTACCACACAAAATGTAAAACAAAACGCACCCATGTGGGATACGTGTTGGACAAGGTGCTCTGGGTTGTCCGCTATTCCTTCACCTGCCTGACAACGAACGGCGTGTTGCACTGATCATGAGACCCCCCAAAATGGTGGTTCTCCTGTTGGTGTCCCCCCCAAAAAAAAGGAGATACCCTCAACTAGAGGACGATTGGCCCGAAAGCATTTTTCCACAGGCGCTCAGCCAGCTGCGGAGACACCTTTTTGCATCGCTGCGGCGAGCGTGTCTGCGCGCGGCGATGCTCAGTGTGTATGGCCACGATCTCCGCAGCGGGTCGCGCGCGGCCAGCAGAAATCGTAAAAAGTCCTCAGTTTTTGAACCTCGACCACGCGAATCTCCGCAGAGGGTCGCGCGCGGCCAGCAGAAATCGTAAAAAGTCCTCAGTTTTTGAACCTCGACCACGCGAATCTCCGCAGAGGGTCGCGCGCGGCCAGCAGAAATCGTAAAAAGTCCTCAGTTTTTGAACCTCGACCACGCGAATCTCCGCAGAGGGTCGCGCGCGCATGCTAAAAATCGTAAAAAGTCCTCAGTTTTTGAACCTCGACCACGCGAATCTCCGCATCTGCCGTAAAAAGGTTTTTGAACCTCGACCACGCGAATCTCCGCAGAGGGTCGCAATCCCGAGCGACGATCAAACTCCCGCCCCGGCGCCTTAGAAACCTAAACTAACTTACATAGCTGCTAACGCCGAAGCTCTACTACCTAACCTTGGCTCTATGTAACTTGGCTCTATGTAACTTGGCTCTATGTAACTTGGCTCTATGTAACTTGGCTCTATGTAACTTGGCTCTATGTAACTTGGCTCTATGTAACTTGGCTCTATGTAACTTGGCTCTATGTAACTTGGCTCTATGTAACTTGGCTCTATGTAACTTGGCTCTATGTAACTTGGCTCTATGTAACTTGGCTCTATGTAACTTGGCTCTATGTAACTTGGCTCTATGTAACTTGGCTCTATGTAACATGTAACTTGGGCTCCGCACGGAAGAACCCTTCGCGATGCTTTCGGGAAAAAAAACGGACCCACATGGGATGATCAAAAAAAGAAGATACCCTCAAAAAAGACGGACCCACATGGGATGCTGGAAAATTGGGGGGGGGGGGGATTCTTTCTCGCTCTCGAGCACCGAAGGCCCAGCCTCTTCATCCGCGGCCGTCCTCTCGCAAGCTGAACCCCGCGGCCCCAAACTGCTCATCGAAGGATCCAACTGCAACGGGCCCAACCGAGTCCATACAAATGTGACATCAAGAGCAAGCACCTGGACTTGACGTAATTTTGAGAGCCCATGCTCGCTTGAAAAGGGCTCCGTATATTTCTCCCTCAAACATCCCCCTACAAAAAGGAATATCATCTTTGAATTGGCCCAAAGGTGATGTTTGGCGCCTCCAAAAGCCCGAACCAGCATTGCATCCTTTTCCTTGGGTCAACTCCTTTGCACAGCAGGGGCAGCGGCAAAGTCACAGCACTCCCCCAATCAGCCCCACACCCCGGCACTGCGCCTCAGAAGACACGCCAGGCACCTGAAAGAGGCGATTGCCAGGCGCGGAGCGCAAGCTATAGGTAAGATGTCTAAGTTAGAAAGACCAAAAAAGGAATCCCTTGGTTTCCTTTGAAAACCCACCCCAGAAGAAGTGGTATCATCCAAAAAACAAACCCAGATGGGTGCTTCTCAAAATAGGCAACTTGTTTCTGGCTTTCCTTTTGGCTTCCTCTAACCATCTAAAAGGGGACCCCTGTGTCTCATTTGGGTTCTGAGGCTGATCTGAAATTAGGGTTGGCACAAGGCTGGTCCTTTCGCTCATTCTTTCTTGGGACCAATCTGGGTTCCACAGCTCAACCCGGAATAACTTGCCAAAGCCCTTCATGTTTCCTGGAAGGCGATTTGACCGCCATGGGTTCCGACCAAAAGATAAGCAAACTTCAAAGCGGCTGGGGGGGTGCACTATGTTTGGGTACGTGAAGCTTCAACCTTCGCAAGCAGTTGGTTCACCGTGGCTTTCCGGGCTTCTGGCCACCCCAGTTCTCCCAACTGCTGGTTGCAACCTGTGATGCTCCTCGCCCAGCTACAGACGCGATTATACCCTACTGCCTGGGACGAACTTCCAAGTAACACCTAGGGTTCCCAATGTAGAACTCAGAGGTCATGACAAGCAAGCAAGCAAGCAAGAAAGCAAGCAACCAACCAACCAGCCAACCAACCAACCGAGCAAGCAACCAAGCCTCCATGCTTGACGGGTGCTGGAGACTCGAGATACATCCGGGAATTCCATCAAGCGAAGCTGACCGGATGCATGGAAAGCCTGAGCTGATCACTCAGCTAACTTTCATGTTTCGCCGCGTGGCATGAGGCTAAGCCCAAACACTTCTTTCGGAGACTCGTGTGTCAGTTTGCCGAAGGAACAGTGCATGATGAAGGCAAATGCTGCCTGAACTACGTTGCTTCCGGAAGTACCACAAGTGTGCAAGGGAGATGTCCACCTTTAGAGGGAGAAATCGGAGGAAACAGGGGGAAACAATATTCCCCCACGAAACAAATGCATAGAAAAAAACAACTCCCTCCCCCTCCGAGACCAAAAGGCAACTAAACCAGCACCCCGCAATCCCGCGATCCACCTCAGCGCGGGCAACCGCAGCGAAGGCTTGGAGGCGAGACGGCCCAGCTGGCCCAGCCTTCGGCTTTTGCGAGCCACCGGCGGTCACGGGAACTTTCCGGATCCTTTGGCGCTTTGGCAAAATGACAGCTGGCTAAATGGAAACTGGGAGTAAAACTTGCGTAGCCCTACATCTTTCATTTTGAGCCACACCGATTTCCAGGAATTTGTGGTTTTTCCTGGAGATTCTCCTACACCCGCCTGTTGGGAGCGACTTCCCGCGGCTGCGTAAGGCGGAGTACGCCAACCAACTGTTTGGCTCAAGCCCACCCACCCACCCCGGAGGGGTATGGAAGGGAAGCATTTGCTACCTGTCTAGTTTTGGTCCGGAGCGTGAAAAAACATTTGTGCGGCATGAGCCATGCCGCCTTTAAGGGGGGTGCCTTTAAAGATTTAATGGGTTTGACAAGCCCCGTGCTGTGGGCCAACAGAGTTCTTGGGGAATCGGAGGTTTTTGGAAAGGTGACCGTTTCGAAAAATGGTTGGTCGTCCTACGTGGAATCAAACCCATCTAAACCAGTGGAACCTATATGTCGAACCTACCCAAAAAGGACACCTATGGTTGGGACCCCATAAACGGGTGGTCATTCCCTCATTCCCTGAGAACAAGCATTGGCCAGTCCTCCCTCATGCTTGGAGGCAACCCCCCCATCAGGACACAAACACATCGCAGCACATAGTATTCTTCAAGTGTACCTCAGTTCAAAATAGACTTAAACCAGGTGTAAACTGTTAAACCTGTATGATTTGTGGAAATGGGTCGTCCTTTTTTAGGGGGCGGGGTGTCTTTTCTAGTTTCCCTTGAAAGCCACCAAGAAGGGGTACCAACTCAAAAACGAAATCCCACATACAAAGAACCCTTCAACCTATAACGGGAGGTTGCAAAATAGACGAACTCCCCCCCCTCAGCCCCCCCCCTCAGCTCAGCTTCCGGCAAATTGGGCGCCGGCAACATCTCCAGCAGCCGCAGCTGCAGCTCTGTCACCCGCCGGCCTGAGACATAGAAAGGGGTCTAACTTGCGGCGAGCCAAAAGGGGTCTAACTTGAGTTTGGAAGGTTGGCTGCCATCCCTGCTCCCATGGCCCTGCTTATTCTGTGTGCCAAGTCTAAGTGAGTCACACTCAAAACCTGGTATTGAAATGGTCCACCTAGAACCATGTAGGGAAATACAAAGGCAGCCGCAGCTGTTTCTGGCTGAGATTGTCCCTTGCTAACAATCATCAATCCCCGGGTTTTGAGCAAGTGGCTCAAACGGCCCTGGTGGCATGGAAAATTCGATGTTTCAGGCATTTCTTGTTTTAGGAAATGCTCTGTGCTTTTTTAAGTGGTGTCTTAAGAGGGGGACTGCTGTTGATTCCTAAAGGGGCGTTGAATGGTGTTGGTTGGTTGGGGGTGGACATGTTGAGGCAGGGGATTGCCTTTGCTTGAGGGCTTGCACTTCCGAGGACTCGAAGGTACATGGCAGGCAGATCGGCAGCCCAGCAAAAACCTTGCGAAATGAAAGTCACATGGCCATGGGTCAAAACCCAAATCGTACCCCCAGTGAACATCCCAAACTAAAATGGGTGGTGCACCTATCCCAAAATGGTACCATTGGTTTTGACCCACCACATTTGTCCCGTGCCATCAGGAGTCTGCGGGTAAAGAGTGCTGGCAATCGGCAAAATATGCAAACAAATGTTGACAGAGGGGGGGGGCAACACTGGTGCTTGCAGCGTAATTGGGGTGTTTTGGCGCTTCGGTTAGGGTGGGAGCCACGCGCGAGCAGGCCGCTCTTGTACGTTGCCAGCGTCTCTACACGTTGCCCGCCTCCTGCACGTGTTGCTTTCTTGAACTCGCGGATAAGCTTAGCCACCTTGTGTGTATCTCCCTTTCCTTTCTGTTGCCATCCCTTCCTCTCTTCCCTTTCTTCTCTTTCCTTTCCTTTCCTGTCACCCTCCTTTCTTTTTGCTTCCCTTTCTTTCTTCCCTTTCTTTCTTCCCTTTCTTTCTTCCCTTTCTTTCTTCCCTTTCTTTCTTTCTTTCTTTCTTTCTTTCTTTCTTTCTTTCTTTCTTTCGTTCTTTTCTTTTCATTTTTTTCCTTCCTTTATTGTCTTTCTTTCTTCCCTTCCCTTCCCTTCCCTTCCCTTCCCTCCCCTTCCCTTCCCTTCCCTTTCCTTCCCTTCCCTTCCCTGTCCTTCCCTTCCCTTCCCTTCCCTTCCTTCAAGATTGGCAACAAACAGCTCCACAAGTGTAGAGGTCTCCACCCTGCCAACGACGTTGGCAACAATCGCCGCCAGACAGTCAGCCTCAACTACCCCCACCAGAACCAGGAAAGCAGGGGCTTCTTCGAGGCTCACCAGGAGTTTCACATTCAAGCCAGTGATCGCGCAAGAAGCGATGCCTCGGAGCAGTTCAGCGCTGATAGCACCGAGACCCAAGAGTCCTTCTGTTGCCGATGCGAAGCAGGTCGTCGTTTCAACTAGAGGCTCGATGAGAAAGTTCCAAACCCGCAACCTCGTGCGACTGGCGCGCTCTGCTGGAAAAGGCCCTTGAGCTCGCCCTCCACTTCGCCTTTGGGGTCTGAATGGTTGCATGCACAGGCAACCTTCGTGCCCGGGCAGGTTGCACAAAGCCAATGCTCTGCCAGACTCTGGCACTGAGAACCAGCATGCAGATCGCCAGCGTACGATGGGACACCATGCCTGGCAAACAGCTCGGAATCAGACGAACACTTTGCTGCAGAGCGCACCTACCTGCGGACCTGCGGGACAACAACCGCGCAGGCACGGTCGTTGCAACTCCACCACCCAGGGTGCGAATTTTACCAGGGAACTCCAAAGTGGGGGACTTGGATCCCCACCGAAGTTTGATGTCCACCACAAGGTCCCTACTTAAAATTCAGACCCTGTCACAGAGCTGGCGACGCTGACAACTGAGAGTTGCCATCCCGAGAGGCCAGCCACACGAGTACTGAGGAATTGTCGAAAGGGCCCTCTGTCCGTTGCAATAGCCAGGGACACCAAGCTGGTGATGCCACCGGGGATGGGACTTGAGTCCATGCTTTGATCTCGGACTACTTGTGCATACCAAAAATGAGACTGGTATCATTTGGTATCTTGCAAAACCAACCTTGATGCATACAAGGGACATATCTCCTCACCTCCAAATCCCACATCTCATATCTGAACAGGCCGTTGGGAGAAACTGCTGCCAAAGGCATCTCCCCTCGCGTCCATATGCCGAGCCGCGCTTGGCCGCCCTCTCAGGCTGCATGGACTCCTGGAGTGCGTCTGTTTGCTTTCAGGAATGTAGTAAATGAGCCTTTTCTCAACATATGTCTCTCTTGGTTTCCCCTTGGCGGCGGCCACTTGGCTTGTAACTGCAAACCCAAGAACAACAGCTCTTGATTATCCCCACGCGCATTTTTGTTTCAGTACCCCTTTTGGCCTTTGCTCCAGAGCCTCGTCCGCCAAGCGGTCCGCTGGTTGCATCACCCCTCCGAAAGGGGTGCCTACCCCTGTTTGTTGTTGACCCCCCCTGCAACAAGTGAGAACTTTTTCGGGGTTTATTGGAAAACCCCTTGATTTCAACCAAAAAGTCAAGGTCTAAAGATCCAATTCCTGATGGTGACTAATTTTGACCCATACCCAGACTCCAACCCAATAGCAGTTAAGTTACCGAGCCTCGAAAGACGGGAGACCGAACCACCACACCCCAATGTCTCCAGCTGCTGCTGCAGCCGCTGCTGCAGCGGCAGGCGCAGCTCCACGCATTCCAGCACCGCCTGAATCAGGCGATTTTGCCTCGAGGGATTTTATAAAATCCATTTCTAGGGATACCTTCCCCATTCTTTCCAGGGATCCTTCTTTCTAAAAATCCTCAATAAACGCAGGGCACACGGCCGGTTTTTGAAAAGAATGGGGAATCCAACCCTAGACCATTGGATGTTTTGGGGCTTGCTGTAAAACCTGCCATAAAACCCCTCACCCAACCCAGGTTGTACGAAAACCCAATGGTGTTCGGCCAAGTTGGTACATGGTGGTTGCCATCTGGGCGTTTTTCACCCCCCCTTATAACGAGGTTAAGCGCATATTCACGGGGGACTTATATGTGGGTCATAACCCACCGTTCCCAACATCTTACTCTGGCCCAAGAAATGCCTGACAATTCCGAGACCCTCGAAGATGACTCATCAGTGTCTGCTCGGCCCCAAATCGGGCGCTCCTTGGCTTCTGTGGGCTGTCTTAGGGATGCGTCCTCCTGGTGCAATTTCGGCGAGCCCACCGTGCCCTGAACCCCAACTTCTCCATGGCATGTCCGAGAAAAACCCTTTCGGCGGAGCGCCTCCGGGTCTGACCACATCCGCTGGAGCCTGACTCGCGCGCGCTGCCTTCGAAATGGGGATCTCAAGAAGTCCATCACTTTACCCCCAAAGAGGTCCAACACCCCAAGAAAGCAGGACACCCTCCCCTAGCCGCCGCCTCCCACCTCCCCCAAACCTCAGAACAGCCAAGAGCTCTCATTGGGCAAGCCCATAAAGCCCATCCAACAAAGCCCTGAAGCCGGCCGGCACCAAACCTGCAAATCGCAACTCAGATCCAAAGACCAAGATTCCTTAAACAACCTTCAGGGACTTCCCTCACCCTCTCCTGGCTCCATTTGTGGGCGGTCTGGGAAATGTACCTGAAATGACCGGAGCGTAATTAAGCGGACAGGACCCTTTTGCTGGACTACTTTCTTCGGGGCAGCCCTTTTGTCCACGCCCCCTATGATTCTTTGAGGGACACCCAGCTTGCACGCCGAGTCGCTCTCCCTCCAGCTCGCCCTCGTCATCCTGACACGCGAAAGGACCGTGTTACCAGCTTGATCCTCACGCTGCCAGGGGGCATGAGATGGCTGTGGGTAATAAATAGGGTAACCCCAAAATGGTTCCCTGGTACATGGAAACAATGAAGAAAAAAGGACTTGCGGATTACCCCCTGGTGGTTTAATTTTGACCATACCCAGAGTTCAATAAAGCAATCGACGGGACTGCCACGGTTGGCGGTGGTACCAGTGCTACACTTGAGCAAGACACCTTCTGAGGCCCTCTTGCAATGAGCAGCACGGGCACGTGCGACGTGCGACGTGTCGCATCTTCAGCTCCGGAATCGCTACAGGCCACGTGGGTGCATGATTTGTTGAGCGTATACTGTTTGAGGTTGGTTTAAAATAACCAAACAAAAACCCACCATTTGTGGGGTAAAACGGTACAACGAACGGAAACAAACACGCAGTCCTTGTCACGACCTATCTTCCAACACAGCTATGAATCAGGCCATCCCATAACAACTCCCTCCCGCCTACCCGCTCAAGAACTCATGGAACACAGGGGTCCCGTTCTTATTCCGCTGTCAAAACCAGCACAGCATGTGTAGAGGGGCAAATCCAATAAGGCACCCCTCGTTGAATCAGAAGTCGTCGAACCAGGGCCTTTACCTACCATCGCGCTTGCAAAGGAGAAATCGGAGAAATCGAACCTCCTCTGATTGAAACGTGGCGCGTCAACAAACGCGTTGAGCACCCCGAAACAACTACTGGGTGTGTGTGCAACTACTCGGTGTGTGTCCAACTTGCGTAAATAGGGTTGTGTGTCTAGTTTCGGGATGCGCTACCAACAATCTGAGTGAAGTATAATTCCCCCAACTCGAAATAGGACAAACTTCGCTATGAAGGGAACCTTCATGGGACCCTCTCGCTCGCAGAAACCGTCGCGGTTTTGCGATCAGCAGTCTCGACCTTTCAAAATGGAATGACCACCCGACAGGTGGGTCATGTCCTGTCTTGGAAAAAAGGTCATGCTGCGTCTCTTTCTGACTATGCCACCCAGCATGGGATGTCCTTCCTCTAGCCATGAGTACTTGGACGCGCCGGCAAATTGAGTTTGAGTCAACACTTCGTAAGTCCAGGTCTAATCCTCTTCATCAGAACATAATTTTCCTCCCACTAACATGGCTTTATCCGTTCCCACTTGCAGATTAATACCAAGTCAGATTAATACCAAGTCAAAAAAAGAAAATCATATCCTTCCACAAAAACATATCAGTTGCTTGTCTTGTTTCAAAACACAATGTCATTACCCTCCCACCAAACAAAACATACTATAACCCCAAAATTATTGGTCCACATCTGGGATACGCCAATAATATCGTACTTTCAGACAATTGCTTGTTCGGTCTGATTCCGTGCTTCCACGCATGGCAACCAAAGACTAAATCCTGCGTAACCCTAACTCTTTCATTTTGAGCCACTGCCGCCTACCCCAAAATGGTACCATTGGTTTTGACCCATGGCCAAATGGGATAGGGAACACCGAGCTTGGCTTTTGGGCTTGGGACGCCGCCCGCCCTCGTTCGCCTCGTTCGCCTCGGGGAGGAGCACCGCCGCCAGACGCTTCCGCGCCGTCGCGGCCGGCTGCCGCGCCAGGGCGCGCCGCGCCAAAGCGCCCGCGGCGCTGCGCTGCTCCGCCTGAGGCTGGGAATCCGAAGCCGGGAGGCGGCTGAGGATGGCTTTTGCGGCGCTTGTGCATGTCGAAGGTTGTTTTTTTGTTGTGGGGTGTTTGCCTGAATTTGGGTTTACATAAGACGGGAATAAAAGGCTACCAAAAAGTCAAAAGGTTGGATTTGGGCAAGTCAGTGGGGCGGTTGCCTGAATTTGGTGACTTAGTGCCACAGCACTCCCCCAAGCCAGCACGTGCCAGCGTGCTGTTGTGACACATCCAGTGCTCCAATCCAGCGCCCCATGTCTGCAATCAGGAGGCAATCCGCAGCAGGCCGGCTGCCACCTGCAAACACCCCGCCCCCTCTCTCAAGCGGCCGTAACTCGACGCAGGGGATCCTGGATCTGTCAATCAGGGCAGAGTTCATTTTCCACAATCGTTGCAACCAAGGGAAATCATGAGACTTGGAAACCCTGCCATGCTCTGCTGCCCCTGCTGCTGCCGCTGCCGCTGCTGATGGTGCGGCGGCAGCGGCAGCTGCGGCAGCTCTGTGTTCGGTGGTAGTGGCTTGCTGCCGTCGATGTATTTTGTGCTTCTCGTGGTTGGTGTTGCTGCTCCACGTTCACTCTCTGCCTCCTCCTCCTCCTCCTCCTCCTCCTCCTCCTCCTCCTCCTCCTCCTCCTCCTCCTCCTCCTCCTCCTTCTCCTCCTCCTCCTCCTCCTCCTTCTCTTCTGCTTCTCATGCTTCTTGATAATCCGTATTCTGCGGCTTCTGCTGCTACTGCCACTACAGCTGCCGCCACTGCTGCTGCCGCCACTGCTGTGACCACTGCTGCTGCTGCTGCTGCTGCTGCTGCTGCTGCTGCTGCTGATGCTACCACCACCACCACCACCACCACCACCACCACCACCACAACCTCCCGGTATACAGTACTACTATTATTCTTGTGATTATCACTATCATTGTTATCATTGTTTTTGCGGTTTCCTTAAGAGTTGTAATCTTGTTGTTCTTCAATCTGCATGATACATCTTTTTGCCAACCGGGAATATGGACCCCCATCAGCCCGTCCTACCTTGCCGGATGACCCCCGCCCCCCCGTGACATGGATACACCGAGACTATGTTGCGGCCAAAAGGCAACATACCTTAACGTGAAGTCTGGCTGCATGAAACAGGGTATGTTAAGGTCTTTGGCTGCAACATAGTCTCGCCGGCCTGTTAAGGGACGTTGAGGTATGTTCAGCATGGAAACCAATACCTTAACTCCACCCCCCATGCCTCGCCGGTCTGGAGGCCTTCATCCCTTGCCGCGGCCAGCCAATGGGTCGCTGCCTCCACCTGAGCTGCGTCTTCTGTTGGAGAAGCCGACCTATGAAAAACCAAAAGAAGGCGCCAACCCAAGGAGCAATTTGCAGGTTCCCAAATCGGTTTTAGGCGAAATCCAACAGGGTCTGAACTATGTTTAAAGAAGATACCCTTTCGTACTATTGTACTATTTGTGATTAATTGCTGGGTGTTACTTGGATCAGGATCCGTTCGAAACAAATACCCATTCCCCTTTGGGTTTCCGAATGGACACATTGCAACACTTTTGGGCTATTGAGCACCGTATAGCCCACTTACCTCAGCCAGGCAGTCTGCGAAGTGGCTAACTGTGCACAAGGCGGGTGACTTGCCCTCCGTGCCATCTTGCTCCCATCTTCATGCATGTTCACGGTGGCCTTGTATAGCAGGCACCTCTAAATCCTCCTTTAAGGGATTCACAGCCATTCCTAGTACCCCAGGTGTTTTGAGCACGGCACGTGTGGCTCACAACAATCAGGCGTCCTTCAGACCAATTTGCCATCCTCTCTTCCACATGGAGAAAATGGTCGGTTCCCCACAATTGAAGGTCCGTGACACGCTTTGCGCCAACTGATCGCACCCGGCTCAACAGCCAGTTCGTTCGGACCATTTGGTCAGCCCCAAAGTGGTTTCAGGGCAAGGATCCAGGAACTCCAACTCATATAGCCCCAAACAGTCAAATCACCGCCAAAGGAAGAAGCGCATTAAGTTAATACTCATACAACCCTCCCTCCCTCAAGGAGAAATGTAAGGACGTTCCGTTTTGGCGGTCTGTTTTGCGCAAACTGCGCTTGGATCCCCACCTGCTCCATGCTCGCGAGATCCGGCTTGTGGAGTGCCAGCGCCAGTTTCCAAAGACCCTGCCGGCCCAGAAATGGCAGGCGGCTTGTCTCCATATGTGAAACCGCAATGTGCGCATGCAGTTCGGAAGGATCCACGACGCCCGTGGATTTGCAAGGCCCCCCCCCAGGCTCGCCAAGACTCTCAGCCTAATGTTCCCAGGAGCCCAGAGAATTGGCCTGGGACCCTTTCCGGATCTCCTGAAAAAGGCCGTGACTCTGGTCCAGTCCCAGCCCGAGGGCAATTTTCTCGGACTCCAATGTCTCTTAGCTGGCGGAACCATCCATTTCCATGGACCCAAAACAAACCTATGGACCCCCTCATGGAAAATTGCACCCCCAAAATGGAGCAACGGTGTCCTTTTATTTACAACCATCAAAAACAAGTTGTATCCTCAAAAAAAAAAACAACACCCATTTGGATCCGTCTACTTTGTCTGAGTGTACCTCTTTTCTGCCGGCTTTCAAGAGAAAACCCATAGGAAACCTACACAAAGACGAGGTCGACCGATTCCATCGACCCATCCGAGCCCGAATCCGAACCCGACCCCAGCGGAGCACCGCCTCGCGGCTGCGGGTGGCCACCTCCGAGGGCTCGCGGAGGAGTGGCGGCAGCTCCCAGGCCGCGAGCTTCCGGCCCAAGACGCACCTCGTCGGGAGCATAGGGGGGGCGAGGAGGGGGCAGCGGGGGGGTTGAGGGGGGGGGGAGGGTTGGGGGGAGGGTTGGGGGGGTTGAGGGGGTTGACGGGGGTTGAGGGGGTTGAGGGACGTTGGAGCTTCGAACTTTGTCAGTTGGAAGGCTTTCAGGCAACAAAAGGGGATGCCCCGATCCTGAAGCCTACCTAAGTGCGGAACCTGAATCTGCCGCGCTGAAGTTCCTCTTGACACACATTTTGGTGTTGTGCTTTCCGGATTCCAGGCACGGGCCACAAAATGTAGTCTACAGTCCAGCCTCCTGGGGTTTTCGAAAACATCTGCAACATGTACAATAAGTCCAAAAGCTGAAAGCTGAATTTGGGGATCCCCAAGTAAAGCACGTTTATCATGGTGAGCTCGGTCATTTCCCCGAATACGTGAGCTCGCTATAAAATAAACAGAAACCATTTTGAACGGCATAAATTTGCTGTACATGATTCTTTCCCAAGGAGTCCCCCGCGCAAAAGTCCCTGAGCGAACAACCAAGCCTCTGGCCGACAGCCTGGATCGTCTCAATCAGCCAAGCAGCAGTGCCAGCAGCAAGCCCTGCATGTGCTGGCTCTCCATCTCCATGCCTCCCACAGGCCCCCGAGTCGGTGAAACTCATCTAAAAATGGCTGGTGGGAAATCTTCCAAAAATGGTTGGTGGACATGAACTTCTGAACCCCCATGTAAATGATGTCCGCGAAAGAGTCCAACCAGCTCAAAATCATACCCAATGGGGCTCCCTCGACAGCATTCCTTATCATGGTCTCAAAATTCCCTATTAAGGGGTTGATGACCATCCCTACTAACCCATAACACGCGTGTCTTCAACTTAAATCTATCAGGTTTTCCACCTGCAAAATCCGAGGACATCCTCAAAATAATCTGGCAAAAGTGAATTTCTCATTGGCCCAAATGTATCCTTTTAGCCGGGTCCATGAAAGTGACATCCTCAGAGTTGCGCTCGAGGTGCTCTGAAGGGAAACCACCCCCCAAAAGTAAGAAGGAGCCTCAAAATGTTCGCTGTGACACGGGTAACTGAACTTGTTCCTCAAAAGTTGCGGCTTGGTGAGTTCCAGTGTGTTCCAACAAAAACTTGCCGCTGTTCTTGCCTGCTCTCAGTGGGGAATGACCCTTCCGGGTGCTGGGAATGTACCATTTAAAGATTCCCTCAAAGGAAACCAAATCGGGGATGGTCCAGGGGAACCCATCTACTTTTAACCACACTGACCTATGGTTCCAACACAAAATCAGCTCAGGTGATATCCCCAACAGCATGCTGTGCTCTTTTCAGTGCTCGCACCACTCCGCAGCCCTCGCAGAACCTCGTGGAACCCTGGTGGAACCCTCGTGGAACCTTAATTACCTCAGGGCCGCCCCAGACCTCCCAGAGCCTATCTGGGCTGAGACCCCAAAGCTTTCAGCTGTTGGGGAAAAATGCCGCTTTTGGAGGTCCAAAACTTTCGGGTAAGTTAAGGCACCCCAAAACAAGGCAAAACCCCCGCCTTGCAGCCGCTCGTAGCTCCGCTGGAAGAGCTTCCGCAGCGGCTCCAGCACCCTTAGACCAGAATCCAGGGCCAGCCGAGCCAAAACACGAAAATAAACAAAACACAGAACAAAACACGACACATGAAGTTCCGTCAAAATGTGTTGCTCACAGCAAGTAGAAAGTAAGCGCCAATTTTGAGAGTCCCCTATCGCTTTCCATGGTTTCAAGCACCTTGAGCCGTATGGATGTCCAAGACTGACCGCGCTTCACATGGGCTTCGGTTTTTCTGGACTGTTCCTTGTGAAAGCACCCCAACACCAAAATCCCTCAGACAAGGACACGCCCATCTTGCACGCGCCACGGATGCACCTTCCCGGGAAAAGAAGCAAACACAGAGACAAATACACACTTAAATAAAAACAAATAAAATGAGAAAGAAGAAACAAACAACGTTGAGAGGCAACAGGCGACACAAATCTCCACTGTCCTAGACTGGTACTCACGAGGGGTTCATAGGTTGGTACGCTCGGGTTTGGACACAAGCAAAAGAGACGTCACCCCAGTCTGGGGCAAAAAGAAAAGACATGTTTGACAGAGAGGCATGATACCAGTACAACACAAAGGACAAAACCTCAGCTTTCCCACAATTGGTGGTTTGGTTTGGTGGTTTGGAGTGTAGGATGTGAATTCCCACTTAGCCTCTACAAGAACCAGGGGTTCAAACTCCCAAACCACCAATCCAAGCCACCCACCACGCAGGGGAAAACACCGAAGATCGGATGCTTGACCCAACGAAGAGAAAAACACGAGAATAACATGTTTAACAGACAGACTATGACACGGAGGAGGAAAAAAAGGAAACAAAACAAGTTGCACCACACCGCCTGTGTGACCCGAAGAAAAAGAAGAAAAAAGGAGAAATGGCTGTGGGTCAAAACCCCGTTCCTTTGAGCATCAAAATAGCTGGCAAATGGAGGTTCATCCACCCCAAAATGGGATCGCCATAGGTCATGCCATGGCCAAATCTGTTCGGGCGAGGGCGCAGGTCGGTGGGCCGCAGGCCCGCCAAGAAGCGGCGCAGCAGCCGCGCCGGCCAGGCCGCAGCGCCCTCTGGGCCGTGGGCTGTGGGGCCGGCTGTGAGGCCGTGGAGCTTGCTGGTCTTCATGGAAACCCGGCAGCTGGGAAAATGATGGGGAAAGAACATCAGTGAAATTGGAAAAACTGGAGAAAAATTGAAAAAAAATGGGACCTAAGAAGCTTGGAAGCAAATGGTCCAAGCCCTAGAAACGTGTTGAGAAGGTTGAGAAAGCTTGGAGAGCGAGGAGCATGAAGCCCAAAAGGACAGAAAATCCCGTAGCCCAGTTACCCGAAGGACCAGGGAAGCAAAGGGATAACCTTCTGGAACCTTGACTAAAGATTGACGAAACCGAAGGTTTCGAAAAGGATGGCTTTGGGCAAGTGAGTTGAAGGAAGCCAAAGAAAAAGGAATCGAACCATGAGCTCAAGCAAGAAACACCAAAAAGCCAACAAAAGGAAACCCAAAACAAAGACAGAAACACAGATGCCAGTGGTTCAGGCTCTTTCAAAGGCTTTGGGATCAGGAGTATTCTTTGAGAACCGGAAGAGGAAGCACCGGCCAGCCACGTGGTTAAACATGCGGGGGGAAAAAACACAAAACGAGTCTTTGAACTCCCTTTGCCTTTTGGGGGGTAGACTCTCAGAGAATTGGAGGGGCCCTTCCAGGCAGATCTCCAAAAAGCTGTTGACAAGATTCGAGATGGAAGGAAGGCTCCTATGTTCGGTGTCTTGCGTGGGCACCTGAAAAGGTCCCCATTCTCGTCCCTGAAAATGCCGGCTTTGACCCAGCGCAACTCAGCGCAACTGGCCTCCTGCACGTGCTCCAGCAGCATCTCCCAGGTGCCTCCCGAGCGCAGGCGGGGGGCTTGACACAGAAAAACACCCGGTCGCCCAGATTTCCCCAAACCAAAAGTGGAGCAATTTACTGATGGTGTCCATTGAAACTATCTCCAAAAAAAAGAGACTCCACTTTTGGAGGTTCCAAAAAAATGGACATGGGGGAACCTGTCATATTGGGGGGGGGGTCCTCAAAATAGTGGCCCCGCAAAATTACAACGGTGTCCTGTTCGTTTCCGTGTAAATACCAAGACGCAGCGGGCCTGCCATTTTGAGAAGACCCTGCCCTTGCTTCCTTTTACATTGCAACGAGGCTTCCGGATTCCCAACCTGAAAAGCCAACCTTGATGAAAAAACAAAAAGCAGATGACTCATGGGATCCACCTAGTGCCTCGCAAGAGTCTAAGAGTGGCGGTGCTTGAACAGGCCAAAGACAAGCTTCCTGCTTGGGAATCCTTGCCATGTTTCGGTCGCCAGAGGGCCAACCAATTCCAAACCATGCATTTGCTTTGGCTGGTTGGAGATGTGACCCCAATTGACACCAGGGGTTACCCAAAGGCCCACCTTCACGTAATTTGTGTGCGTATTCTTCAAACAAAACCTCGCCGTGATTTACACGTGTATGAAAATAGATGGCACAACTCTCCAAGGTTGGTTTCGAAACTCCCTTTGCCCGCATTAAGGGAAATGCAACATCTACTTTCACCGTGGTGTACTTTCCACACCCTGTCTGGCCAAATATAAAATTTTCTCACATAGGAGTAGACATGAAGCCCGGAGAGAAGGAGGGAGTCCTTCTTCCCCCGAAAGGACATTCCTCCCGGGGTGCTTGAAATTTCGGGTTCCATGTTCGCCAGAAGCGTGTAGCCGTTCAAAGACTTAGCGAACGTTCAAAGACTTAGCGAACGTTCAAAGACTTAGCCAACGCAGACCAAAAAATAGATTGATTGCTCCCAGATCAGCCGCAAATTGATTGTGATCTGTTGCCATGCCGGTGAGGAATTCACAAACATGAAACAGTCGTAAGGGGGATTGCTCTCCCTCCAACAATCATAGAAGCTGACAGGGTTGAAGTCTGTCCTTTTTTGGGCAAGCCCCAAACGTCCACTTCCATGTCTGTTAAGAGGGCAGTAGTCGCAAGCTGGCGTTTAAGGCCGGAAACACAAAAAAGAGAAACAAAAGCAACAGCCAAAAAAACAAGAAAAAAACACAAGAAAACGAAAACGAAAACGAAAAGGGACAGAAGGGCCAAAGAGCCACTTCAATCTTGGCCGTCCTGTCAGCTGCCCCGGCGCCGTCAGCTGCTCAGCGGCTTCCTCCAAGCCTGCCGCTAGAGACTGAACCGAGCCCCGGAAACCGACGTGGCCGTGGGTCAAAAATACGTGGCCCAAAATGGAACCCCGGCTAATGGAGACATGGACTAAAACCTGCGGTCCCCTGGTAGTTTAATTTTGACCCATACCCACATGGCCATGGGTCAAAACCCAAATCGTACCCCCAGTGAACGATTCAATCCAACCACTAAAATAGGCTCTAAAATGGGTGGTGCACCAAAAACCCCAAAATGGGATCCCATCGGTTTTTACCCACAGCCACATGTTGAATTTTGATTTGTTGGACTCTTTGTCAAAATTCGGTCGGGATAAAAAGGTCGATAAAAATCATTGGCACATCAACACCGAAAACGGGGTCCGCCAAAGGAGGCCGTGCAAAACGAGGGCTTTTGGGGTTCCAGGTTTGTCTGCAGACTGGAATTCACCAGCCTGAAATAGCAATGGACCCCAAGCAGCAATCAGCATGGGTGCGGTCGAACCCCTCGTTGAAGTGGATATTTGCACTCACGGCGCAAATCGCAAGAGGAGGGCCATGAAACCGGCTTTGGTGGCAAATGGACCCCCTGCAGGTGGTAACGCTGCAAGAATGGCCGCTGGGCACAAGTCCCCCCGAGCGCCCCTGCCATGTCCGAGGGGAACAAACTGCCCGAGGGGCCAGAGGCTGCCCCTGAAAAAATCTGGCACAAGATGGATGTCTAACAAAACTGGCCCGGTAAGACAGTCAACAAAACGACGCTTGAAGCTTGCCCACTGAGCAGGTAAGTGTTCGTTTCAAGGACAGAAAAGGAGGTCCCGTGTTTGTCAACCCCAGCCCCCCAAGTATACGAACCTTACCCGCTCGTGCAATGCCCACGCCTTGCACGAAGTCTGGAGCTTCCAGCAAGCTGCTGTCTCCTACGTGTCATGACCTACCGGAACTCCACTGTCATCATTCCCCAGTCAAAACCAACAAACAATGGCTTCCCATGGCATCCAAGTGGTGCAGGATTTCGTCCACCCACAGTGGCTCTGAAGATGGCACCCCTGGGGTGACGACCTGGGGCCCAGCTTTTCCACTCTTCTCTGGGCACAACGGACAACACTCTGCTGAGTCTACCCGGTAGACTCCCAGAAAAGGGTTGTCCGTTGCTCATCTGCCCCCAAATGAAAAACCCGCTGCAACTTTGAAGCGTGCACTCTCCCGTCAGAAATGTCCCGCAGAACGTCTCCTTTCTTCTCCAAGGCCTGCACAAGTGCTTCCAAGCAGGAAGACAGGTCCTCAGCTGTCAAGGTTGGGTGAATTATAACTCGTCAACCTGAAGTAAGGGACGAAGACTTGCACCTTCGTCATGGATGAGGCTGCAAATCCCCTTCGGTGATTTAATATGCCCTGTTGTTTGTGGCCCCGCCATGTCTTTGGTCTAGTTGCAATCTCTTGGAGTGTCAGCACCTGCCATGTTCGAAACCTGGCTTGATGAAAGAGTCTATGACGTTCCATCCATCATCGCTTCAGGGTACAGGTCGGCCCCAAATCAAACCACTGCGCATAATAGTGGGGGTTCCCAAAACGTGGAGGACGTTTCCTATAAAGCAAACCTGGGTCACCACCATCCCTTTTGGCCCCCTCCAAACATTGCCCCAAAGGAGACTTACTTGAAAGGTGCCAAAATGATGCTCAACGTCTTGATTGGGGAATCTTGAGACCCAGATTCAGTGTCGAGCTGAGTCATACGGAAAGGGAACTGACATACTCTGGCTGAGTGTCAAGCCCTAGGTGTCAGCCCCCCTTTGATGTTTGGTTCACGTTAGCTAGCCCGAAAAACAAAGATGGCCCCAAAAGGCCGCCCAGCCGAGCCATCTCCATCGTCTCTGTGGGACATTGTCCTGTATCCATGATTTCCTTATCACAGAAAGTCGCCCCCCTGGTTTGCTTTTGGCCACATGTTTTGGTAAAAGGCCGGGGAGGTCGGGTTAGCGTATGACTCCCTCATCTCTGGTCCGTCTTAAGTGAACTCGCAGCTCCCTTCACCCCAGCCAGCCGCGCTCGGTATGCATGAAAATGCTCCGTCAACATGTTCTTTTGGTTTCCCTTTAAGCCAACCTCAAAGGGGTACCCTCAAAAAGTTGTGTGTGTGTGTGTGTGTGTCAATTGTTTCTCCTGGTAGCTTCCCCTTAAAACCACCCCAAAAGGGGGTATTCTGCATCCTCAGTAAAACACAAACCCAGACGAGTGCTTCTCAAAACATTTCCTCTCAACTTCCATCCCAAACGGGGGGGACCCCTATTTGGAGAAAGACCCAGATGCAACCCCGCCCCCCCTTCTGCAGCCGCGCCGCCGCCAGTGCCGCGTAGCTTCGCAGCAAAGACGCGGCCAGGCCTGCGGCGCTACGGCCGGCGCCCGCCAACAGCGTCCAAAGTCGCCGCAGCCTCCGCGGGTGCCATGGCCCGTTTTCCGGGGGAAAACCCGGGGGGCACCAGGAAAAACCACCACAGCCTCGCAGCGTTTAGGGGAGGTTGGAGGGGTCAAAAAGCTTGGGGGGATCTAGTTTGGGAGGTGAATGACATTGAGATTCACGTAGAATGGAATGAAAGCTAAGTTCACATGCGCGATATTTTAAGGTGGAGTTTAAATTGGAAGTTTGCTTCTTTGGAATTCAAAAACATGTTTGCAGGACATCGGCCTTGTGATACCAATGCCGGCCACTGCAACTTCAAAGGATCTTCCCCCCGCAGAGAGAGGAAATCACACCAGTCCAAAGCACCCAGAAAGAGCTGAGAGGCACTTGGGGGTCTCCCCCGCCCCTTCGTCCGGTTTGAGCGCGGGACTTGCTGCACCGGGCTTCTTGCCACTGAACTGGGCCTTTTGGAGGGGTCCTGATTGAAGCGAGGAAGCAGGAAGCGAACACAAACCCTACACCCAATACTCATTTTCCGGGTATTTCTACGGTATTTCTAGCACCTCGCAACTAAAACAGCTGGCTCAGGGAAATACCGGTGAATAGGGGAGGAAATGGAAAGGAGGAAAGATAACCTGCCAAGAAGAGAGAAATGGCTGGTGAGTGATATCTCTTTCATTCTCATGTCTTTTCCCTTCGCTTCTCTCGGTTTTACGACATGAAGAACGAAGAGATGTGTATGTAAGCTAACCAAACGGCACCACACAAGCAAGCGATAACTCTTTTATCCAAGCAATGTGTTGGTGCCAGGGACTCATCTTCCCCTGTCAGATGTCAACGGCTATGGGCCACCCAACACAAACTCTCAAAAACTGAAGAACGGGTGTGCAGACTGATAGCGCCCGCCCCTGGGACCTCCCTCTCAGGGTGCCCCTAGCCCCGAGAAGGAGGTCGCTAAACCTCCACCCGAGGGCTGGCAATGGCCGGAGCCGGGCACCAGGTGGGTGCTGCTCAAGGCGGACGTCACCAAGGCCCACCGGAGAGTGAAGGTTCTAAGGAAGGACTGGCGGTTCCAGGTGGCCTCACTGGGGAATGGCAAGGTAGGCACGTACGGCATGGCCAGTGCCCAATCCTACTGGGGACGCCTGGCAGCCCTTCTTCTCAGGGTCCTCTACGCACTTTTCCCTCAAGTGGATTGGAACTTCGTCTTTGTGGATGACTTCCTGTGGCTGCTTCGCAGCGAGGGGGCAGTAAACTTGGCGGTGGCGCTGTTGGCAACACTCCTGGCCTTGGGCACCCCGCTTAGCTGGAAGAAGACACATTTGGCGGAGGTCAACACGTGGCTGGGCTTCGTGGTCCACCCGAACATCCCGCAGGTTCTCATGGCCGCCAACAAACACATCCTGGTGATGGAGGTCTTGCAGATCATGGTGGAAGGGCAGGCGATGCACTCAAAGGACATCGAGAAGGCCCTGGGCCGCATCCAATGGGCAACTGCTGCATGTCCGCTGGCGAAGTCGATGCTTCAGCCACTGTGGGCCTGGAAAATGGCCACCACCACGGTGGGGAAACCCCCTAAGGTGGTCAGGATGCTGGCGTTCATGCTGCGGTTCCTCTTCAACACGCCCTTCGTCCAGTACTCCCCTTACTTGCCGAAGTCCTCTTGGTGGGGTTGCAGCGATGCTAGCGCCTCGGATGAAGGACTGGCATTTGTGGGAGGCTGGTGCGCCAACAAAATGGAGCCGGAAAAGAAGGAGGTGTACTGGTTCCATGAGCAGATCCACGTGGAGGAGTACCCGTGGGCATTCAAGAATGGAGATCCCAAGCGGAGGATTGCGGCTCTGGAAATGCTGGGCACGCTCTTCCTCTGTAACATGATCCTCACGCGCCAAGGCCCTCCGACTCCCGGTGGGCAGTGACAATCAGGGCAACGTCATGGCGATGCTCAACCTTGGATCCAAGAAGCCCTACACCGCGGCTATCCTGATGGAGCTGGTCTTCCTGCTCCACACCCATGGCTGCTCGCTGGCGGCCAACGTGCCCCGGGAATTCAACCAGTAGGCCGATGAGCTGACGCACCCGGATTTCTCTGGGTTCGACCCTTTGCACAGAGTCCCTAAACAGGAACTCTGCGAGGAGTTCATTTTTCTCCCGCGTCTCCTGAATGGAGATGCATTTGATCTTAGCGTACCCATGCTCCCGTGACCGGAGCCGGTGGGTGACTCACTTCCCCTGGTGGCAGACCCCCCTGTGGCCTGGGTGCCCCGGGCCCCGGCTCTCCTCAGCTGCCGCATGTAGCCAATGAAGAGCTTGCACCCCATCCAGCACCGTCGGAGCCGTCGTCCTTTCCACCGTCTGGTTCCTGATGGTGTCATTGGCCCCGCCCACCGAGCCATCGTAGATGGTGCGGATCTTGTCCCCTTCGTCGATGCCCGCTAGGGGGCCTGGGCAAAGATCCTCCATATCGCAGCCACAGCGCGCTGCTGCCTCTACCTTGGTGAGAGGGCCATCTACCATGCCCATGGGGACCTCCTCCAGGAATGTGCTACGGATGAGCTCGCTGAAGTGATCCGCTGAGGGGTAGTTACCCCGGCCCGTGGGATGAGGGAGTTCCTGAAACTCCGGCTCCTCCCCGCTTAGCTCCTTCCAGATCCCGAGGAAACTGGTGGTCGGGGTCCTGAATGTTCAGCGCCAAACTGTGCAAGATGTCCAGGAAGAAGGGTTGGCCTTCCGCTGGTCGGCCTGCCCCTGGCGCCAGGATCTCCCTGATATCTTCCAGCAGGTTCTCCGGGAAGGGGTGTGACCCGTCCCCCAACGAGAGCGACTCCTGGAGTTTGTCCCCCCATGGCGACGTGAGGACAAAGATCTTGGCCCCCATCGCTGCTGCTTTGGACAGTGGCCGAGTCCACGGGGCCAGCCGTCCAAGTGAGGGCTTCCCACCCCCGTCCCTGAGGGGGCGCTGTTTGAAGGCCATCTGGAGGTACATAACCTTGTCGGAGAGATTGGGGTCGTGCGTGATCGGCAGGGTGGTGGGCCGATCCGAGATCTCCATGCAATGGCGTGCCCATGGCTGAAGGGGAAGAGTTTCACCTTGTAGTTCGACCTTCCTGCCCGCCGGCTGTGTTGGTGTCCGGACCTCAGGACTGTCTGAGGCCGAGACCGGACGTGAGCCCAAGGTTAGTCCCGCTAACGCTTGTTGGCCGGCCTTCAGCCTCAGGGACTGGCGCTTGTTGTCCCCCGGCGTGCTGGGAGATGGTTCCCTCTGCCGCCTCGGGGGGGTCTTTGGATTCACTTGGGGCACCGTGCCCCCCGGCCTCAGCGCCTCCAGGACGGGTCCTGCTCTGCAGAGGATGGCCGCTGCGAGACCCTGCATCATCTGCTCTGGGCACCGGCTGAGGTCACTGGAGTTGAGCTTTTCCCCCCTGGGGTGAGCTCCGTGGTTGCATCGCAGATCAAGGGGAAGGTCCGTTGACAATGTCGTGGACTTCACTACCACCTGGCCCAGGCGGCACTCGTCAAACTTGATGAGGGAGTGGTGGAGTGCGTTCGCCCATTGAATGTAGGCCCGTGTGACCCAGATCGATGAGCACCTCGCTGCGCTCGGGCTCTTGCTGCACTCCATTGATTCCATCAGGTGCTCCAGGAAGGAGGAGCCCACCTGCGGGACCGTTCGTTGACCTAGTCCTTGGTAGGCCAGCGAGGTCAGGTACATCTGACGGAGCATGAGCACGCTGTCGTTGTCCGTGTCCTCCATTACCCGGGGCTCCAGGTCCTCCAAGCCCCACAGGGTCTGCTCCGCCCTGCCCCTCACCGGCGGCGGGCCTCCCGGTTTGGGGAACCATCTGAGAATGCTCCACGTTCTGCAGTTGGGGCCGCCCCCCACAAAGGCGACCTTACCCGCCATGGCCATGGAGCACATTGTGGAGTATGGCTCGTCTCCCAGCATGTCCTGTCCAAGATCGCCACCCTTTCGCCTAATGTCCACTGCCCAAATGTACTCCGAGAAGGCCGGGTTGTAGGCATGGAGGTAGGCATCCAGGGCCCCCGCATCGTCCTTCCCAGCGTACAGCAGGATGAGGGTCGGCTTTGACGACTCGGCACCGGTCGTGGCGTCCACCTTAGTCTTCGCCTCAGTCTTTCCGGGGTGTCTTGCATCCAGGGGAAGGTGGGGCTTGTTTTTGCCGAGGTTTGTGTGTCCTTTGTCCGACCCCCTGGTCGTCTGGCCCTGGGCTTGCTGCTTGCCCTGACGGTTCTGCCCGCCCTTGGAACGCCCCTTGCCGGGCGGATCCCCTCCTCTGGGTCTGGGGGTTCTTCCCACTGCCTCGGTGGCGGGGGAAAAGGGTGCTTCCGCCCTTCTGGAGTGCCCTGGCTGGATCCACTCCCTTTCTTCGGTGGAGGGGCTTCCGGGGCCGGTGGCACCCTGGAGAAGTCCCCTCCCACCTGCGGCCGTCCTGGCCTCCCCAACTCTGTCTGCCTTCCGCTGTGGCTCTGGTGGGATTGGCTCTCCCCTGCTGTGTGTGCTCTCGCACTGGTGGCCTGTGATCCCTTCGGAGACCAGGCAGCCACGGGGCCTATGGCACCCTGAGTGGCCTCCTGTCACTTGTGGCACATGCTTCGATGGGGGGGCATCACACACCCACCCATCCTTCCTGACCGGGCAGTTGTGGGATCGGCCGCATGATCCAGGGCATTTGTTGTGAAGGTGATGATCCCTGCAGTACGCCACCCCTTTGGGATTCTTGAAAGCCCAAGGCCATGAGTTCGAGGAGGTGTTGGGGGACTTCCCCTTGCCGCCCTTGCCTAGGCCCCGAGGACCAAGATCCTTTTCCCCCCTGGTGCTCATAGACCTCCCGTTGCCAGAAGAGGAAGTCGCCCCTGATGTTCTTGAGGGCTTCGGAGAGAGTGGTACCCTGGTGCACCATTTCGTGAATCTTGCGCCATGCATTGCGCTCTGCCAACAGCAAGGTGGTGTCGCTCGGGGGAGGTTTCCTGCCGGCTATGTCCTCCCCATAGAACCAAGCATACCAGTCA